TTCTTCTTCTTCTTCTTCTTCTTCTTCTTCTTCTTCTTCTTCTTCTTCTTCTTATTATTATTATTATCATCCTCATTAGATTCACACTAAGCTCATACTCCGTTATCTTCATATGCTACCCATTTTTGTCGGAACTGGGACGGTTTTTCTTAAATTGCTCGTTCGCATCAATACGATCAGCGTCATACCTGGCAACTGGCTCCATCCACTTCCTGGTATTGTAGCTCTGTCGAATTGCTGAGGATATGGTCCATGGACCACATCTCAAATCGCCAACCCCCTGAGCATTTCCTCTCCCACGTCCACTCTACTGTATATGGCGTCACCTGTAATTTTTGGCTTTAGCTTGATTAAAATTAGACTTAACTTAACGTCACCTGTCACTTTTGGATTTTGTTTAGACTTAATTTAACGTCACGTGTTTAACTCGCTGGCGTTATTTTAGACGGGGTGCCCACTAAACGTATTTGTTTTCAGTTTCAGGCGATCGAGTCGGACGATCGGCCCGATCCAGCTGTAGTGGGCACCCCGTATTAGATTTAATTTAACATTACCTGTAGCTCTCTGGTTTCAGTTTAGATTTAGTTTTACGCCACCTGTAGCTTTTTGGCTTTAAAAGTTTACTTCAGTTTTAGATTTAGTGAGTGTATGACGGAACGTGCAACACAAGACGGTCATATAAGTGCCGAAGATTTGAAGCGTTACAAGAGAGCAAGAAGCACAGAAAAGAAGGAGCAGAGATTAGGGCGACAGATGTTTGATAAGAAAGAAGGAACAAACCACACCAGATTTATTGTAACAACATCTGTCAGTCTTTGACTTTTAATGATAGCTTTACGGCACTCACAACACTATGAGGTCCAATAAGTGTCGAAGATTAGAGGTGCTTCAGGTTCGAGTAACGTGCAAACAAAAGAAGGAGAAGAGGTTAGAGCAATGAATTGTCATTAATCGCTCGTTCGATTTTGTTTCAAATTAAACTAAACCTCACCCAGCCACTTGACGGTTTTTGTTGTTGCGAGCTATATTTCATCATATTTATGGGTTTTGAGGTAGCGAGTGGGAGATGGCGAGATCTGGTTTTCAGATGCAGTGGTGCCCCCACGGTTGCCCCAACCACGGGATAGAAGAAGAAGACAAAGTGGGAGAAGGAGGGGTTCGGTAAATCGGATGGGGGAAGGGTGGAGGGGTTGGGGGAAGGGAACGCGAGGAGGGGTTGGGGGAAGGGAACGTGAGGAGGGGTTGGGGGAAGGGAACGTGAGGAGGGGTTGGGGGAAGGGAACGTGAGGAGGGGTTGGGGGATTGAGGAGGAGGGGTTTGCGATTTGGGGTCGGGGATGTAGGCACTTCAGAGAAATTTTCAAGCTTCTCCAAGCGCACTGAAATTAGGATTATAAAATAGAAAAGAGCTTGGCTCTCAGTTTTCAGAGCTTTTTACATTTTTGTGCTATCTTTGTTAGTTTAGAAGAGGCGACCATTTTTGTGAATCAATTTTCGCCTTGATTTGGCCAAATTTTTGCACTGCGTTTTGTGCCACTAAATTTCCAAATTTTGCTTCAAAACGTCATAAAATCTTTAATAATATTTGTATCATAACCATTGAGGTTTCATTTTGTCTGTTGTTTTATGTAGAAATAATAAATAAACAATAAAAGTCAAGTACATTGCGAGTAAAGAAATTATTTACCGTTTAATTACGTCATAAGCGTGACATCGTTCCAATGCCTATTATCCAAAAGAGAAATGGGCACACTTTCCATAATAATGGTCCGGTTTTCAAACGAAAAACATCCCTCATTTTGTTTTAAATAGTTCTTTAACTTGCTATTGGGGAATGATTAAAATTGAAAGCAGTTTCAATCTTACATGTATAACTCAAGTAGGAGGTTTGGGGGTGCCCTGGGGTGTGGTTTGTTCCTTTATTTCAATTAACAATCTACCGTACTTATCTGTCCTCGTTCTTCTCTGTGTATGTTACTCTCTTGTAACACCACTAATCTTCGGCCTTGTATAATGACCTTATTGTGTTACAAGTGCTGTTAAACCCAAGCTAAAACTAAACCTAAAAAGCATAACACAGATTTGAAGAATATAATATTTAACGAGTATGGTATAAAACCGGAGATTGATACAAGAATCACCATTATTATGATGATTACCGAGGAACATCAAATACAGATAAATGCACCATGCAATGATTCATACCCGGAAGAACAGCGACAACAGTTCTATGATCAACTGAGTGATCTTTTAAACACCGTGGATGACAAAGATAATGTGAGAGTCATAAGGGGTTTTAAAAGCAGAATGAGAACAAAGGAGATGACGTAGGAGAGATACTTGGGACCACAGAGAGACAGAGAAACAGATCAAAACAGCAATGAAAAAATGCTATTACAGTTGGGAACAGAACATGACCTCGTCATATCAAATACCTTCTCCCAACACAAAGGAGTCAAGTTAAAACTTTGTACAAATGGAATGACCTAAAGACAGCATCTCAAATTGATTTTATCCTGACCAAAAGATCGAAATTGTGAAACATCAGAGACTCAAGAGTGACACCCAACTACATCATAGACACTGACCACAGAGCAGTCATCATGGTTATCGACTCACCAAACAGGAAAAGGCTAACTAGAAGCAAAGAAATGACGAGAAGTCGTAAATCTCAGAAAAATAAATGACGATACCAAAGATAAGATACATGAACGTTTGAAAGATTTATTTCACAAATTGCTCAAACAACCGGGAGACATTGAAGAGAAATGGAGCCGCTTTAAAGAATGTGTGCATAGAGCATTAAAAGCAGAGTGCGACACCAGGAAAACAGGAGAGCAGAAAAGGAAACAACTTTATGGTGAAGGAAGCCATCCAGCTGAAGAAAAAAGCATTCAAAGTTTTAGTAAGAGTTTTACGGCACTTGCAACCCAATAAGGTCATATAAGGGCCAAAGATTAAAGGTGTTACAAGAGAGTAACAAACACAAAAAAGGAGGAGAGATCTGGACGATAGATGTTTGATCGGAGAGAAGGAGCAAACCACACCAGAGCACCAGCCATCCACCCACATGCATTAAAAAAAGTGGCAGAAATCAAAGACAGATGAAGATTATATCCAAAGCAGAAAGGAACGCCGCCAAACAGCAAGGGTAGTAAAAGAAGCAAAGAACCGATCCTGGAGAGCATATGGAGAATAGCTGGCAACAACATGTACAGTAAAGAAGACCCTAGAGAGTTTTACAAGAGCGTTAAAAGCATAAGGATGCGAAGGAACCGTTTAGCCCGACTGAAATAGTCAATGATGAGAGCCGAAACCCTATTTTCAGTAAACCAAAGATTAAGGAAAGATGGTAACGCTATTTTCAGAAGCTGCTGAATCCTACAGGAGACACAACACCAGACTGTTTCTCACCGAAGGAAACCACCCCAGAACCATCAATACTGCTGAGTAAAACCCAACATGTTATAAAGCCCCACAAACAAAGCACCAAGCGTTGATAACATCACAGCAGAAGAGATCAAGCTATGTGACCATATTAGTGAACTCTGGCTAAGGAAGATATTTAACCTGGCCGGGGAGACAAAAACAACACCCAATAACTGGCACCGAGCTGTCATTTGGAAAAAGAAAGGTAAGAAAGAGACTGTTAAACCTAGAGACAGGAATATCCATTCTCTGCCATGTGGGTAAAATGTTTGCCAAGATACTGGAGATGAGAATGAGACCAATTGTAGAGTTCAACTCAGTGAATCCCAGTTTGGCTTCAGATAAAGAAGGGGCTGTACTGACGCTATTTTTGCCTTAAGACAGTTGTGTGAGACTGCCACTGCACATGACAAAGAGCTCAATATCGCCTACGTGGACCAGCAAAAGACATTCGACCGGGTAAATAGAGGTCAACTTTTGGAAGTCTTAGAGGAATATGGTATAACAGGACAATCGCTGGAGATCATCTTGGCACTTTATAAAAACAGTCTGTATTTTCCGAAAGATCAACAGAAGGACTATCGGACCGTTTCTCAATCAGGTCTGGGGCGAGACAAGGGTGTGTTCTCTCTCCGCTTTTCTTCATCACTTACAAAAAAAAGATAACGAAAGCAGCAAATGACAACAAGCGAGCTTCTATTTGCTGATGACCAAAGTATACTAAATACAGATGAAGAGGAATTACAAAAACAAATCACAAAACTAAATGAGGTATGTAAACACCTAAACTTGAAAATCCTCATTTCCAAAACAGAAGTTATGAACGTCTGCAGAAACCCAAGGAAACTCAATATTCTTAATGACGGAACACAACTCCAAGAAGTAGAGGAATTTAAATATTTGGGAAGCATCTTCACTAAAGATGCGCGTATGGAAAAAGAAATCAAAACAAGAACAGTGAAGGCAAATGCTGTTACCTACCAGCTAGCACCCCTGCGTAGTCACAAGAACATCCCAACCGAAGTACTATCACAGCTCACCAATAGTATCTTCATACCAACCCCAACATACCAGAGCCAAACATGGTATCTAAGCAAGACACGCGAAAGACAAATCAATGCATGCGAAGTGATGTGTCTCCGCAAAACCATCAATGTCACCAAAAGAGACCACATAAGGAACGAGACCATACGTCTACAAACCAGAATACCACCAGTAATAAATTTCATAGAGCGTCAAAGAGTCAAATGGTTCGGACATCTAACCACAATGCCCTCAAAACAACTAACAAACTAACAGCTAGAGCTTACCACACTCGTGAATCCGGCTTCAAATAAAGAGGAAGACAAAGAAAGACCTGATTGGAATGGGTTAAAAAGGTTCTGGAACAACATATCTATCACAGACGCTACACACTTAGCACAGGACAGAAACCTGCACTTCCCCTTGACATCCTAAGTATACCAGAGGGAGGAAAAAGTAAAGTAAGAACTGAGGAGCAAAAGTGCTCACTTTGTTGCAACAGGCATCTTTATTCATGGTTGTTTCATCAGTGCAAAAGAGTAATATGCTTACACTACTAATACGGTGAGTCGTGAAAGGATGGTCGTGGTGGCGATTTTAAGGGAAATAAGATGACAAGAAGCAGTGGCGTCGCGTGGGTTGCAGACAAGGTGGTGCATAATTGGAAAGTGAACAAATGGACAGTAGGCTTAGTAGCTACTATTAAAATTTCTAAAGAAAGTCAATTAGAATCTGAAGGATATCCCGCAATCTAAATATATCTATATTTAACTGTTTCTAGATGAAACCACATAAAAGCAGCAATAAAGTGAAACAATACTAACAACTCACTATGTTCACAATCTGAGAAGATTTCAAGATTTCTAATTACTTCG